AGCTTCAGTCTCCGACGAGGACTGGGCTAATATTCCTGAAGTTGGAGATCTCACGGGCAAGAACCGAAGAGCCAGGCAAAATATGCGCCAGAGATTCTATGCTGTACCAGACAGCGTCATAGCGAACGCCAGAGACTCAACTGAGTTTAGCACTACCATCAACGACGACGGGACTGAGTCATACGTTCCTCGAGGTGAAAATGCTGACGGAACAATCACCAATTTTGCTGATATTGGTGCCGCCAGAGATAAGGTGCTTCAGGTTCGCCTGGATCAAGCAGCCGAAGGCTCGAACGGAGATGTTGCCTCCGGCAGTGCAACGTCGATTGATCCGAAGGGCTACCTGACAAGCTTAACGAAATCTGAGATGAAGGCTGGTGAGGTAGAGATTGGAGATATCAAACGTGTGCGGACACTTCTGGAGTCGGTCACCAAAACCAACCCGAAACATCCTCCCGGATGGATCGCCATTGCTCGTCTAGAAGAGATTGCGGGTCGCATTGGAGCCGCTAGGAATTACATTGCTAGAGGCTGTGAACTCTGTCCAAAAAGTGAGGATGTCTGGTTAGAGAATATCCGCCTCAATGATAACCACAACGCCAAAATCATCGCCGCAAACGCGATCAAAAATAATGATCGATCAACGAGACTCTGGATCGAAGCTATGAAACTGGAGTCTGATCCTCGAGCCAAGAAAAACGTCCTGAGACAGGCCATCCTGCACGTACCCCAATCAGTCACCATCTGGAAAGAGGCTGTGAACCTGGAAGAGAACCCCGAGGATGCACGCCTACTACTTGCCAAAGCCACTGAAATAATACCTCTCTCCGTTGAGCTATGGCTGGCACTGGCACGGTTGGAAACACCTGAGAATGCCCAAAAGGTCCTCAACGCAGCTCGTAAAGCGGTACCTACCAGTCGCGATATTTGGATCGCTGCAGCCAGGCTACAGGAGCAAATGGGGACCGCAAATAAAGTAAACGTGATGAAAAGGGCCGTCCAATCTCTTGCTAGAGACTCCGCCATGCCGAAGCGGGAAGAATGGATTGTCGAGGCTGAAAAATGCGAAGAAGAGGATGCAATTCTTACCTGCAACGCCATTATCCGAGAAACATTGGGGTGGGGTCTTGACGAAGACGATGACAGAAAGGATATCTGGATGGAAGATGCGAAGGGCAGTATTGCAAGAGGGAAATATGAGACGGCAAGGGCAATATATGCCTATGCACTCCGCATTTTTGTCAATAAGAAGTCAGTATGGCTTGCGGCGGCAGATCTAGAGCGGAACCATGGTACCAAAGAAAGTCTCTGGCAGCTGCTTGAGAAGGCTGTTGAGGCCTGCCCCCGATCTGAGGAACTATGGATGCAGTTAGCCAAAGAGAAGTGGCAGGCTGGCGAGATTGACAATACACGACGAGTTCTTGGGCGGGCATTCCACCAGAACCCCAACAATGAAGATATCTGGCTCGCGGCAGTGAAACTCGAGGCAGATACTAATCAAATCGAACAGGCCAGAGAACTACTGTCAACCGCTCGGCGAGAGGCTGGTACAGACAGGGTTTGGATCAAGAGCGTGGCTTATGAGCGCCAGCTCGGCAATAGGGATCATGCTTTGGATTTGGTCAACCAGGGTTTGCAGCTATATCCTAAAGCAGACAAGCTTTGGATGCTTAAGGGGCAAATTTATGAAAGTGACGGACAAATCCAACAAGCTCGGGAAGCATACGGAACAGGTACCCGAGCATGTCCCAAGTCAGTGCCGCTCTGGCTCCTTGCTTCAAGGCTAGAAGAGAAAGCCGGTGTTGTTGTGAAAGCCAGATCAGTACTTGATCGTGCTCGACTTGCCGTTCCAAAGAATGCCGAACTTTGGACCGAGAGTGTCAGGGTAGAACGCCGAGCAAACAATCTCAGCCAGGCTAAATCCCTTATGTCGAAGGCTCTGCAAGAAGTCCCGAATTCAGGTCTTTTGTGGAGTGAAAGCATATGGCACCTTGAACCTCGCACACACCGGAAACCTCGAAGCTTGGAGGCTATTAAGAAGGTGGACAACGATCCTATTCTCTTTGTCACCGTTGCTCGTATATTCTGGGGTGAAAGACGGCTGGAGAAAGCCATGACCTGGTTTGAAAAGGCCATCGTTGCGAATAGCGATCTGGGAGATGTTTGGGCATGGTACTATAAATTCCTTCTCCAGCATGGAACAGATGTAAGTCCTTGTCTCTTTTCAGTAGCTTCTTTTTTCTCAGTTCAACCTTGCTAACGCCTAATCTTTCATGTAGGAGAAACGCGAAGATGTCCTAACAAAGTGCATTGCTACGGAACCGAAACATGGAGAAATCTGGCAGACAGTGAGCAAAGATCCCGCTAATGCCCATAAAACCACCGAAGAGATCTTGAAGATTACACTCAATCGCTTGGAATAGGCTGTTGTATAAAATTGTTGACCATGGTTGGATCACTTCTCTCACGAATACGCCGCCTATATCATACATTTTCATGTCACTGACTACGGTCTTATTATTTGCAAACTGGAGTTCCATGGGGTAAATAGGGTACAGCATAATGATTTCATTTATAGATACCTACTTTTAAAACTATATCATGTCTAACGATTAGTAAAAGGCTCCTCCGGGGGTTTCTTATGAGCGAACATGCTATTTACTAGACGTGGTGAATGCACCAAACACTTCACACATATATCCGACAGTGAGCCCGCCATGTCATTTGTGAACTTGGGATGAATGTATAGATTAACAATAAATACGTTCTTTAGCGTTGCGTAACCACCCAGCCTTCCAATGCAAATCATCCGGAAACACAACTCCATGGTAGACAAAATAGTATTCAAAAATCCAAAAAACCAGTGCTTGCGCCAATTAATATGCACCTCTCGACTCCAGACCAGTACATCAGGATGCCATAGAAAGGCACTCATCAAGAATCGAGTTAAGTTGGCTATGGTCCGCAGCCGTAGCACCGTCCCAGTCCCATGGCTCTTCATCGATATCCATCTCGTCTCCAGAGGGTATATGATCAGCACTATCGGTAGCAGCGTTGGCCTCTTGTATGTAACATTGGTTTTCTGCTTCAAGTTCTTCTTCAAGATATCCCCCCATTATCTGGCTAATGATAAGGGGCATGTGCCCAAGAGCCCCAGGCGCGATGTCAAGGGTCAATTTGAGGTCACGTAGCCCCAACGGTTGGCGATTGCTCGCTTCCTTTGCTTCAACAGGGAGAAGCCCGTTGGTGGTATTTCTAACCAGCTCTCCTCGTGTAAATGCCATTTCTTCACGTTCTAATTGGCGGCGATATTTCCTTGTCGTCATTCCATTTATAGTTCCTGAGGGACCATTACATTTGGTCCGGCCGAAGACATTGGAGAGAAATGACTTTACAAAATTTTCAGTCGCAATAGCCATGTACGTCGCACATGCGAAAGTAGCTCCATTTGATATGGATTCCTCATAGCAAATAGGTGTCATGCGCGCATATATTGATTCGGAGTCAGGAAACTCTCCCGTTTCTGATGCTAGAGGTTGGGCGTATCGTTTACGAATCTCAAGCTCCCAGTCTATCAACCGTTAGATAATGATTGGAAAATAGAAGCAATTAACAGCAAGTCATACTTGTTTTGTTTAAGCCGCCGGCGCTCGCAGGAACCTGGTCCGGAAGCCTGATCTGTCTTGCCAGTTGATATTCCTCAAGAGGGTTGGGAAGGGTACTTGGATCGGGCTATAATTGCCATGTCAGCGGAGCTGCAGGTTCAACAGGCCAAAAAATTTTGTATTTCTAGTGGAATGCTTACCTCTGGGATCGCTTTTAATCTTCGCCTATCTCTCGGCGGGAGCTGCATGACCTCGGTCTTGAGACGCTGTTCAGCGGCATCTCCAGAGGCCGGTTTTGACACCACTGTTGGCTTGTCATTTGCGGAAACCCAGCTCGCAACTCCATGGTCAGGAAGGTCCCTAGTCAGATTTCCCAGCAACGCGCAGACGAAATTATTGTGAAGTCGTTCGCGCTTTGGGTCAACGGCTAGCAATGGCGCAGCTCGAAGGGTAAATTCATTTTGATTAAGGTGCCCTAACAAAAAAAAAAATATAGTAAGCACACCAAAGCCTATGGAATTAGATGTCAATCACTGCTTAGACGTACCAAGCAAGAAGAGTGTGATGGCCTGCTTATACTCGGTCCAACCATCCCCGATTGCGCTTTTCAGCTCGGTATAAATAGGCTCGACATCAAGGCGCGGAACAGATATGAGCGCCTTAGTCGTTTTTTGGGCTATCGGAGGGCCAGTTGGGACAGGCTTGGTGGTAGTAGACGCCGGCGCAACCGTCGCAAAGTCGGTCGTCCCTGTCAGGGCCGCAGGGTCGATCTGCATGGTGAAGGTGTTGATGTTGGTCGAGGTGGCCAGGCGCTCGCGCGAGGCCAGGGCAGGCTGGCTCAGGCCCTCATCTAAATAACAGAGAAGATGCCGATGTCTGCCGGCGCTTATCCTTGCCTAACATGCACCTGATGGAGTTTTGCTCGCTTAAAGCCAAAGTCGATGGTTTGTCTCGTCGTCGCAGCGAGAAAAAAGGCGTCGGCGTTTGAAAGAGGATAGCTTATGTAAGCAGGACAGCAACCTACTATCAAAAAAGGAGGTTGGTGATAGGGAGGACAGTCTTTCTTTGCCCTATATGGACGTGAATTATCTGATACACAGGCAGTTTGCAAGATATATGGGTGTATACATCTCCTGCAGGTCGGGCATATGCCTGTGCTGTTGATTCGAGAATAAGATTACAGGGCCGAGGAATTTTGCTATGTACGTATCCTTCACTTGATATTAACTACCGTTATTGATAATTGATAAGTTTTATAGAAGCCAGGGAGAAGACGGTATTGATTGACCGCAAAGAGTGGCAAGAATGGGAATGTATGTTCGTAAAGAAATAAGTAGGTACTTGCAGCAGGGGGTATATAGTTAAACAGTAAACGCGGAAAGGGAGACCGTACCATCACTGAAGAGTGATAGCATCCTCATCGATAACTCCAAAGAGCTTTCTTACACCTTGCATTAATACCACAATCTCCTTTGATAGTTGAGCAGTAACGAGTGCTATTGAAAACCCCAATGTGAGTTATTAGGTTCTATCGAGAACGAGAAGGGAGTCTCAAAACATACCGTATGCATATAGAAGAGCATAGTCTTCATCCGTAGTCAATCGAGATGCCTGCTTATCATTCCTGAAATGATGGAGACGGGCCAAAAGACGATCTCGAGCATGTTCGGTGTCTGGAAGAACCTCGTTCAACGCATATCCCAGTTTCATCGAAGATGCCATAACTATTGCCACGTTAGATTTCCCAATTATCGGCTAGAAGATAGTTTGACATAAACGGGACGATGAAAATACCTGATAACAAATGGCTTATTCTAGCAGATAATTGCATCCTTTCCCGTAAAGTGTATCTCAACATTGCCGCTTCACCTTCGGAAGCAGTGAGGTTCTTCATTATCTCAAGATTCATGGCCTGAAAAGCATCAAGCAGCCTTCTAGACCCGGAAACAAGAACTTTATACTCGGCATCTGGAAATGGTCTCTTTAACGAAAATTCTGACCTTGCTGACACCAAAAGCGAGTCCAGGTAGTTCAGGAAGAGCTGTAGCTTGATCCTTTCCCGCACGTCGAAATAAGGAGATGTCGGTCCTCCCTGAATCATGGTAGAGAGCGGATCGCGTTTCCAGATGACGCTGAGACGAAGCCAAAATACGCTCAAGCCATCCTTAAGTTTCCGTTTTGCACTGGACGGCCAAATAATCCTGGTGATTATGATACCCCACAGGATACCGACAAACACAGCAACCACTCTGTGAAGAGTGATATCAGTAATCACAGGATCTTCGCCCCCTTCGTCCACGCCGTCATCAGCGCCCTCCTTAGCTAATGCGTATGCATAGAGGACAACAAGGTTATAGGTAAGCATGATGAACCTCCCCATAGGGCCATTGCCTCGAGCTATTGTGATATAAGCAGTGCAAAAGGACATTACCCATCCAAATAGAGCAAGGAAGATAACATTCGCTTCTGCAACATACCAACTAGCGAGAGCACAAATGGCTCCGATGCATGTGCCAAGAAACCTAGCGTAGCCAGTGGTATTTGATGCCCCTATTGTCATTGAGCAGACAAGCATGTAGGATACTAAACCCCACTCCCCTCTCCAGGCAGAGTATATGGGCCTAGTTTCGGGCATGAATGAGGGCAGCGCATATATGGCAGCACCGGCACCTACTTTAATGGCGAACTTCGTGTCATCACGTCGAAAGACATGCAGTGCCTTCCAAACCCTGTACCTGAAAGTGGTTTTGGTGAAAGGGACGTCAATTGCTTTATCCTTTTTATTTTTGTCTTCCAGTGGGTCTACTGTGCACACAAAAGTTAGTTTGTTGGAAAATCAGGCAGTGCATATAGGTGATATCAGAGGGGACAAACCGGAGTCAAGTGATCCTATATTTTCATCTTGCTCCCGATCCGAAGTCCACGGCATGATCCAACGCCATGTTCTTCCATTTGGGCGCTCGTCAGCTTCTAATTGAAGCTGATCAAGAATGCTGAGGAATTCTTTAAGTTGCTCGCCAAACTCTAGGAGAGAGAAACTGAAATGACCACAGCTAGCTGCAACTTCTTCTAAGTCCGCCTCAACTCCAAGGGGCTTTCCCTTAGCAAGTATTAAATCCTTCTGGCTGTATATTATATTCAAAGCATCATTTCTAGCGTGTCGGTATAGGTCAAGAGCCCGCTCAAGACTTGTTCGGAACTTCTTATTAACCGTAACTTTATAATCCGGAGCTGGGCCATAAGGGAGTTCTCCTAGAATTTCCTTTAGGGTATATGCCAAAGAGTTCTATAGTGTGCTATGGTTAGTCGCATTGCGTTCTAGCATTCAAGTACAAAGAAAGGGCTCAATAAATACCATTGAAGGTCCAAGGTGAGTAATAAACCTTTCAAACATGTCTGCGGGGGCTTGAACAAATTCTGTAGGTGTATTTGCTGTTTGAGGACGTTCAGGTGAGCGTATTGTTGTAGCACCAGATGATGGTGACTGGAGGCCATCTGAACGAATAGACATAAGTGGCCTGTCGAGGAGGCGGATGGGAGATCCATTGTGTAGCAATCGCAATGTGTCAAAGGTATTTATATCCTGTTGTGGCTGTTGGAATTGGTTCAGAATATCGAATTGAAGGGCTGCAGCACTTCGAAGTCCGCCGATACTCTGGGATATGTCCTGGATGCAACGGACTAATCTCTTCTCAAGCCGGTATTCCTCCTCAGTGCCGGCAACATAGTGCTCAAACTTAGCTTCTTTAAGAAGTTTTTCCATTTTCGAGTATGCAGCTTTGTTCTTGCATGACGCATCAAGGAAAGGCCGTTGTTCAAGGCTGCTCTCAAGCCCTGATGCTCCATATATAAAACTCTCCGTAATGATCTCCAGCATATCAGAGAGGGAGTCTGTCATATCAACCATATTTTGGCGTAGCTTCTTCTTTGCAGAAATAGGGAATACTATAAAACAGACCATCATTGTAGCCACAACTCCCATAACAACCATTTTGAAGACTTGGATGATTTTAGCAAAAGACAGGTCACCTCGCTGTACAGATCCTTCCTTCGTCATGACAGTGATGATTGCCAGAGAAGCAAGTGAGCATGCGACATTGACCAGTGGGTCACCTCGTCTCTGTTTTACCCATCCAATGAAGCCGAGGCCACCGCCGCAGAAGACGATCAGATGATAACATGGCCGAGAGGAAGCATGTGGAGCCCTTCCTGAAAGATCACCGAAACACCCATACTGGTAATCGATATAAAGGCAGCATAGCAAAAGGCGATGAAAGCCAGTACGAATGCCTCCATCATGCTACCTTTTGTTGGGCTGGGTGGAAATATACGGTGACTGTCGCAACAGTATGCTTCCCAGACTGGTCGCCGAGAAATCGATAAAGCACTGGGACAAACGTCGCCATCGAGCCCAGTAGGTACGCGAGACTGCATTTCAAAATGCCTTTTCCTGTCTCTGACTGCATAAACGAACGCAACCTGCCAGCTGTCGCTGTTGCCTGATGCATCCAACCCGCACGCTCCGGGCCGTCATCTTCAGCGCGAGGGCTCCTCTGCAGCAATGGAGTGTGTTCATCGTCCCCGTCATGTCCGGCTGATAGATTGGGGGTGCCGTGTACACGCTGGCCGGTGCTGGGAACAATATACGTAGCCTGTCGGAGCTATTGTAGAGATAACGGTCAGCTAGCGAGCTCTTAGGTCTTAGCATTCATTTAGCACGAAACCCACATTGTGCCGACAAGGCCGGTTGTTAGGCGTACAGGTCTGCGGCATGCTCAAGATCCAGGTCCATAGCCCCGGCAGCAGTCTGTCCTTTTTGTTTCTGTCGCTCTGGAGATCTAGCGGTGATGATGAAGATGTCGATGTTTTGAATGTTTTGATGTTTTGGAGGGCGGGAGCTGGAGCTCAAGCCGTTGACGCGAGTGATTACGTCATAACAAGTTACCGACTAGCCACTTTAACCCAACGTCAATTTCAACCTCATTTCATCTTTGTCGTCCATTTGAAGGACACGTCCATACACAGGCCGTTCCCTCTCTATCGTGTTCATTGCTGCAGTTTGGTGCTAAGAGCCCGGGCAGTAATCACTAACGGTCTCAGACGTGCAGCCCTGTAAGGAATTTTCCAAGCCCGGAGTTCCAAGCCAGTACTAACGAAGGTCCACGGCCCAAGCAACAGGGATATCAACTTTGTCAGAAATGGACCGAGAAAATTTTCGGGAGATCTCCCCCCTAGTTAGCGCAAGGTGTCTTGCAAGCCAGACGCCCAGCGCCAGTCGCGGTGTCGGTAGACGCCATGAGGTGGTAAAATAGAATGTTTTGGTTGCTCTGTCTGTCTATATGGCCGTGATTATACCCAAGAGCTCCCCACAGGATGGATCCAGCGCGCCAAGGGTGGAGAACTTTTCTTGAGCCGAGGACGAAGAGCTCATCAATTTCCTTCATGGCAACCGGCAACCAGCTCATAGGCCCTAACACCATAAGAGTCTCCCTACCAGACCCGGCATCTCTAAGGAGTTGTGGTCAAAGTCTATACCTCGTTCCATAGAAGGGAGCTTTGCCCGGCCTACGCGCGAATAGTACCCCTCCTTTTTTGCTTGGAAAGCCTAAAGAATATCGTTGAATCGCAGGGTATTATCCACGTAAGTATGCCTCGGAGGCCGGAGATGCAGAATTCGACGAGGGAATTCTCCTGTTCAGTAACCATGTCCACCACTACTGGCAGCAAGCGGAATCTGTCTTGCCTTTCAAATTAACACTGTTGCTGAAGAGTCAACAATCGAGGGATTATTGCTGCACGTGGACTTGTGATAGACCAGGTCAATCATCAAGGGACCCTAGTCCCTCCATTGGCAGAATCGGCCAGCTTGTGAACTATGGAAATACATACGAGTATATATAGCTCAATTGTATCCCGCACTCCTCGGAATAAAGCAGCGAGTCGACTACAGCATTCTGAGTGTGCTGCCTTCCAGTATTCGCCTACTCTTTGCTTTTCCTTTTCGGAAATCCCCAGACCAGCAGTTCTCCTACAGGATGGCGCCCTCGCAACACTCCCGGCGTCGCCCTGGGTTCTTCTCCTGGTCACAGACAGCCGTGGCTGCGGCAGTTGCCATTATCACCGTGATGGCAGTTTTACCCCAGGCTCAGGCATCGGAGTCTGTCGGTGAACAGCAGCGCAGGGATATACCAGCCGGGAAGCGAAATGTCATCCTCATGGTTTCCGATGGAATGGGCCCTCAAAGTGTCGATATGGCTCGAGCCTTCCGAAAGTGGCAGACTGGCAACGAGCACGTCCTCTACCTAGACGACCACCTGATCGGCCAGTCGCGTACCAGATCCTCCAATAGCCCGATCACCGACTCTGCAGCTGGTGCCACCGCATTTTCTTGTGGAAAGAAGACCTACAACGGTGCTATCGCTGTTCTGCCCGATCACACCCCTTGTGGTACCGTCCTAGAGGGTGCAAAGGCCGCCGGATATAGAACTGGTTTGGTTGCTACTACAAGAATCACCGATGCCACCCCTGCGGTGTTTGCTGCCCATGCCAACTCGCGCTCCTACGAGGATTTGATTGCAGAGCAGGAAATCGGAGAACACCACCCATTGGGCCGCCAACTTGACCTTCTTCTTGGAGGAGGGAGATGCCATTTCCTTCCAGGCAGCAACGGTGGCTGCCGTGACGACAACAAGGACATTATCAAACTTGCCAAGTCCAAAGGCTTCTCATATGTTGGTGATCGTAGGGGATTTGACGGCTTGAAGGGAGGAGCTGCTGCCAAGCTCCCTCTACTTGGGCTCTTCGCTGATGACAACATTCCCTTTGAGATTGACCGCCGATATCAGAATAACGTGTACCCTTCCCTTGAGGAGATGACGCGTACTGCGTTGAAAGCACTGAGCGATGCCACTCGTGATAGCAACCAAGGTTTCTTCATTATGATCGAAGGTTCCCGTATTGATCATGCCGGTCACGGAAATGATCCTGCTGCCCAAGTCCATGAGGTTGTCGCCTTTGATAGAGCCTTTGCCGCTGTCTTGGAATTTCTCGAGCAAGATTCTACACCCGGAATCCTGATCAGTACCTCGGACCACGAAACTGGTGGTTTGTCGGCTGGTAGAGCGCGCCCGAATATTCTCAACAACGCTTCCCACTCCGCTGAGTATCTGGGAGAAGTCCTCGAAAACCACGGTGGCGACCATGACGTTGCTCGCCAGCTTGTGGAGGAGGGTCTTGGAATTCACGATGCATCCGATCGTGAAATTGACTCTGTTGTTCGTAACGGAGAGGAAGGTTTTGCTGAATTGATCAGCCAGCGGGCCCAGGTTGGATGGTCGACTGGTGGCCACACCGGTAAGTCCCTTCCCAAGAATTTCTATTGTTGTTTAATGTGATCAGCACACTAATATCTGGCAACGCCAGCTGTCAACGTTAATATCTATGCTTCTTCCCGCGAAGATGCCAGCGCTCTTGTAGGTACTCATGAAAATACGGAGATCGGAAACTTCCTAGCGAAATATCTTCGGGTAGATCTCAACGCTATCACAAAGCGCCTAGAGGGCATCAGGACCACACCACGCCGTAGAGCCTTGTCAGACTCGTCTTGGATGGGTAAACCACTATCTGCCGAGGACCTCGAGGAGCTGAAGCACAGACACGGCAACTATACCACCAAGGCATAATTTCAAATTGGATTCCACAATCTCAGCTTTAATTAACAAATGGAGCAGCCGGATACGGACTTCTCACTCCAAGCTTTCTTGTGTTCGATAGCTAGCTGGATAACTAGGTTGCAGACAACAATCGAAAAAGGATGGTGTCTACCTAATGGTATCTGATTCCGTGATCCATTTTATGCGGCAACCGACGACTTCTTCAGTCTGCAATACGTATATGTGTTTTAGTTTGCGTAAAACTAGTCAATGCAAACCACCAATAGGCAGTGTATGATGCCGCACTCAGTGGACTAGTTATTAAATTCGATATTCTCACTCGCCGGCCAAATTTGACGTCATAAGCAGCTTTGGATACAATCAATGGACGATACTTTCCTTCCATTTTACAAACATATAAATATCGATGTCGACTTTGCTGAAGCAAATAACCGAAGAACAGATAGCTCGAAGTTACTCGGTAGGGTCACAGGACTGTGAAAGAAGAAACATGTCGCCCTGGACGGGCTCGAAGCTCTTGGTCAGGCTTCCCAAGGGAACACCGCGCATCAAATATATCAATATGAGAGAATTGCAAGGCGCAATTAAGAGCCGGGCGTCAGAATGCTACGAAGATGGCTGCAAAGGCACCTTCCTTGTAGTGACGGCAATACCCTCTACTTTTATCACGGAAGTGGACGAGTTCTACGGTGATAGAAGCCCGGGGTTCGCCATCAATATTGACGAAAGCCTTGCAGTCGTCGAGACCATGCATTCTAAGCCACGCGAAATCCTGGCCCAGAACCTTGTCATTCACATAGGGAGTGCCACGAGTGAGCTTGCCCATCTCGAATAATACATGGTGGCGGCATTTAACGCCGCACGGACGAACCGGACGACCGTCTATTAGCGCTCTCATCCTTGAGAACTTCAAATCTCTCACAGAGTGTGGTGATATCGAAAGCTTACCTCAACCGATCAGGCCACTGCCTTCGACGATGGAAAATTTTGCCAAAAGGGCAATGAATCACTGACCCGACATCAGAGGGTATGCCGACCAGGAAACTGAGAACCTCTAGCTCAAGTGCCAGCTCTAGCATAGACTAGGACTGCCTTTGGGTGACCGTTACCCCAGGATATACTTTGGATAAGAAGAGTATTGCAATCCAATCCTGCTCTATTATCTGTGCTATAATGGAATTCGCTGCATTGTCTTACTATCCAGGGAAATTCGATGTCTACAAACGATCTAATAGAAGCTCTCATAGCGACGACTGTGATGCTTGCGGGATGGCAGGGAGGGGGTTGACCTGGAGCGAAGAGAAGTTCATAAGAGAGCCGAATACTTTATTAAACCGACCTACCCGGTTGGCACGAGAAGTAGCCCCCGCCTAGCACTCAAAGCGACAGAGACACAATATGCTAGCTAGCAGTTGGACTAGAATGGAAAATAGCTAGAGTATCTACCACCCGAGGCCAATGTTCAAATCGGCTCCGCGTCGAGTCTTCAGTCAAGGAACTTATTAACCAGCCACGCAAGTCTGTGGGCGATAATTTTGAGGTTCCGCTTATCCCATCCAACCCGAAAGAAGGGCACCATTCTCCCGTGCCCTAACACCTGCCCCCAAACCAGGCAGTCATGTATATAATAGTACTGGGAAATGATCCGGCAGTTGATCCACTCCTCATCGAGGTAAGATGTGAACGGATCGGTGCTATTAACCCTTCTATAGAATACATCATGAGCAAGACGTATAGTTGTCCAGTGAATCTTTCTCCTGATTTCATCAGAATGCACCTCCACTCGAATTGAGGGAGCACCTCGCAATCTACTATAGAACGGCAAAACTAGTATATCGTAGATGTACCAACCACGGGAATTATATCCTCCATCTGGGTAAGGGACTAACCTATAGCAAGTATCCACCCAGCTTAACATCTTGCGTTTTCTGTACTTCAGTTGCTTCAAGACTTGACGGTTATCTAGATCGTAGCCAGCACAATCAACATATGTATCTTGCAGACTCAACTCCTTTCCCTTCTGCAGTCGAATGACTATAGGCGGGAGCAGTGAAGTATCGAGCAGTTCAAGCGTCCTGATAACATTCCTCCACCTCCAGAAAAATCCATTTTCGTCTTCCGGGTTAGATATATGGATTTCGATAGCGGCTAACTTGCAGAAAGGAAAATGGTCGAAGCGGCGTTCTCTGCTTTTGGCCCGGCATTTGAGCGTCCACACCGGTCCGTCACAGAAGATACCCTTTCGCACACGCCTCCGAAGGCGCAAAGCACACCAGAATCGTTTCCCTGAATCTGGAGGGGGGGAGAGATCGATAATCATGCGTGTCTTGGAGAAGATGACGTCTGAGATCTCTTGGTACAGTCTGCTGCTGACCAGGAGGATTCTGAGATCCATGTATTCCGACTGAGATGGAGTCAATTTGTCCCCCTGGTCTACAGGGAAATAATCCAGCCAGATGAGTTCGCGGATCTCATAGGGCAGCCTGGAGAAGACTCCCAGGCCAGGATTCAAGGCCATAATTGACTGATGAGTGGTTGCATCAATCGCCGTGCATATTTGGTGATCCTCAATATCCATGCTCAGATTCTGATAGTAATTGGTAGAGCGTAGTATAGGAGTTACAAACTATCAACGGATGCATAGGTCGGGAGATGTCGTAGTTGAGTGAAAATTGAAGATGGCCATAATGATGCCACTTTGGAGGTTTATATGCCTACATTGAAATGATGTCATGACTTCATCCAAGCATCGTCAACTATACGTAACGAGGCAGTTTGGATGGCGAGAAGGCGAAGTGGTAGTATCAAACAGTGGTTTCCTGTGTCGTGTGTATGATAGCCGGCTACCCCTATTTCAACCGGCTTTGCACTCGTGGCTCATATCTATTCCGTCAGCTAGTTAGTTAACAAACTACAACGCTGACGTTGCTTTAGCGCTGCGAGTTATGGTAGCTTTCAACCCTGCAGCAAACAAACTGCTAATCGTCCTTAATTTGCCCCTTAAGATCGGGCTTATCCGCTCGAATGGCCCGGACTCCGGACCCGTCTCAGGCCCCCCTGGACTCGCCAGCCAACGAGCAGGCAATACGAATGGCCCGTCGAGCCGTGTTGGGCGCTGTGGGAACAAAGAACCCTACCCCGAGCCCAGGGATGCTGGTTATACGAAGCAGAAGCATGGAGTGACGCCCCTCGCTGCCATGCACGCCATGTCAATCTGGAGTTACACCCTTAGATGCGAACGCAAGGCCCGACGAGGCTGGTCGACCGAGTTAGTTATGGTTACGTTCCACCGCGAGAGCAAAGACTGACGGCGAGATGAAAGAGCTTTCGGGCGCTTCGCCGTTTCTCTGGGCCGGACGAGCTGCTCCCCCCTATAAATACCCTCATCTCTGCCCGCAGGGAACAAAGCAGATCAGTTAACTGTCGCCCTCGAGCTAACTAGTTGACTGGTTAGCTGCCTGACTTGTACGCCCTGAGAAGCCCCTCTCTTGAGTAGAAGCCCACTGTGCGCTCTGTCTACCGCTTGACCACCTATTCCTCCTCCTCCTGTCAGCACCATGGACTCTGCTACTGCGCTCATATCCAAGCTGCAGACCCTCGCTTCGAGGCTCAGCAATGAGGAAGATCGTGATGCGCGAAAGGAGTGCTTGCAGATAAGCAAGGCCCTCACGGCGCAACTGGAGGAGCCAGAGAATGTAGCTGTCGACATGATCTTTTCTGTATGTATTTGGTGCTCCTGGTATATATATGTGCCTTTAAGGAGTACTGACCCGTCATTTACAGCCCATGATTGCCGTCAGTGCTCGAATTGCAGTTGATTTGAACCTTTTTGCCCTCATTGCAAAGGAAGAGCCCGTCACTTCGGCTAAGCTCGCTGAGCTGTCTGGCGCAGAAGAGCTGTTGATAAGTATGGGTGTCTGATGGCAGCTATATCAATTTGATTTCTGACCGTCACTCGTCCAGTACGCATTCTACGGCCTCTCTCCGCCATCCATTTTGTCGAAGAAGTGGCGCCAAAGACATGGAAGGCTACTCGTATCACCCACGCCATGGCTATTGAGGGAATAGCTGCCGGTCATCGAATGATGTTAGTTACTATATACTGTCAGGCAAAAGGGACACTCCCAGCTAATATAGCTATAGTTCGCGATTCGTCGTTATCTCAATGCAAAGTGCGCCGGCCTATCTAAAGAAACATGGCTATGCCTGTCCAACCGATCCCAGAGATGGGTTGATGCAATATGCCTTCAACTCCAAGCTGAGTGCGTTTGAGCAGGTGACGTCCGATCCAGCTTTGCTCAAGGACTTCAACACCTTCATGGGCAGTACCATGGGTGCTAGAAGGTACTGGGTGGACTGGTACCCCGTCCAAGACCGAATTGTCGATGGAGCATCTCCCGACAAGGCCCTACTTGTCGATGTTGGAGCTGGAAAGAGCCATGACTTGCTAGCATTCCAAGAAAAGTTTCCCAATGCAGGCCGGTTGGTTCTGGAAGATCTCGCAGCCGTTACTGAGACTCTGGACTCCTTGGATCCAGCAATTGAGAAAGTTCCGTACGACTTTTACACCGAGCAGCCTGTTATTGGTAAGTTGCTACCCCAAGTCCTTTCTCCATATATAGTCATTTAGTTATATGCAGCTCTTGCACGATCGTATGCTAACCCTTTGTTTAGGTGCCAGAGTCTACTTTTACCATCATATCCTCCACGACTGGTCGGATGCTTGCTGTCTTAAGATTCTCGAGAAGGTAGTCGCAGCTATGACCCCTGGATACTCGAAACTGCTGCTCCACGAAATGCTTGTTCTTGACCAGGCAGCCCCTCTATTCCAGGCTGAGTTGGACATGACCATGATGGCCTTCAATGGAGGAATGGAACGGACCAAGGACCAGTGGACTGCGCTGCTCGAGAAGGCTGGTCTCAAGGTAGTCCAGTTCTGGGACCCAGTTGACGAAGGTGGTGATGGCATCGTCGAAGCTATGAAGGCATAAGCAGCTCTCCCACATAGTTAGCTAGTTCGCCTAGTGTCAACAGCCTTTTAACAATACAGTTGCATTGAACTTGCTGATATCCCAACTGTGGGGTGAAATATATAACACTGAAATGAAATAGCTGCCTCTTTTCAACCCGAACTGTTCTCCGGCCTATCCAACAAGTCCACTCTAAACAGATCAAACATTCGCTCTCCAGCCCACCCGTCAAGATGTTCCCAGTTTGCGCAATAGTGCATATCTTTATCAAAATTTGTCGGGTAAAACTCCGTCGGGTCCTCGTGCTGGGCTGTGTTGTTGATCCAGCGGAAGGTGACGAGGGATAGGTCCGGCTGACACATTAGGGACTCCCGAATATATTCCACACAGTGGTCGGCGTGCTTTATTTCGCGGGCCATAGACTCTTCGTCCTTGTTGGCATAATAATGCTCTTTAAACATCATGCGCTTGACTTTTTTCTATGCCACGGATAATTCAATTAGCATCCACACATATACTACTATCCCACTGCCCGATTTTCTACATACCAAGCAGTGCAGAGAGTGATATACACTCAGTGATGCGATACCCTCTGAGTGATCTTTGGTATATACTGAAGTCAAGTTCTTCTCCTTCAGATAGCCGATAGGAACACGGATGTTGTCGTCTACTCTCGAACAAAAGAAATATGAATCAGTTCATGTCCGCAAGTCTTCCGATTTTGATAAATAGACTTACTTCGCAGAAACTTGTGCCATGCTTGCTCCATCTCCTCACGAGGAGGCCCGGCAAAGGGGTTGTTCACGATGTTTGTTGGGAACCGACGGTACTCCCATTTCAGGCCTTGTCTATCCGGTACTTTCGACAAGTCAGTAAAGGACCGATTGAGTTGATCGATAGGTAAATGGACTGACATGGAAGATGTGGTCGATTTCCTTCTTTTCCTTCCTGCAAGACATGTCTCTGGAGCCTGGGGAGGATAACGGCAAAAATAACCAGCGAATATACGACTATTATCGAGCTATGCAACAGCCATGGAAATATCCTCCTCCATATCCGCCTTTTCGGTTGCTGGTCAAATCTCGCATACTCGTCCTTGAACTCTTCTTCCGAAGCGCAATTCAGGGCCTCATCGCCCCTAAGCAGCGGCTCGACCGCATGCTCTCTTGCCTCCTTTTGCTCCATGCTTCTCCCTGAGCGAGGTTGAACATCTATGGTTGAGATACAAACCCCCCCGGCTGGACTTGTTTGCTCTTGAGCTATCAGACGTTGGAAGAAACGCCCGTCTGCCTGATTATCGGCCCACTCGATCAAGTTGTCGTCCGAGACAGGGGTATCCAGAGGAATTCAATGCAGCAGACAGCCGCTGTACTACATTACAATGCACTCGGTCCGATTATGGGCTAGTTATTCAAGCTTGACACTTTTCTTATTCTGCTTTTACAACCTCGTTAACTCCCAAAGCTTTATCAAAATTATCCAGATCCTTCTGTATTACACCCTGGATACAGGTATTGTATTATCTAGTTATCCAATGAGGCTTGGTAGATCCTTCAGAGGATTTCCCGCGACCACCCGTCCTGCCCGTATCAGAAAGCTCCAGACCACCATCAAGCCTGAAAACTCAAACGGTGTGACAGCAAATCCAGCCTAATTAACAAACGGCTGCATAAAGGATTAGGAGCCCCAAGGTCTCGCAAAGATCTTCGTCTGCTGGCCGGAGGATTTATGTCTCTTCATTAACTTCTTTATCCTGCCTGCTTGAACGCCTCACAAACGCTGCGAGTCCCCGGATCATGGAGCTATTCAATTTTAAACCTCAATACCAGCCTGTGGCCAGCAACAATTCCCCGCGGCCGGGAATCCTGCCCTTCCTGAGGCAGTATCCGCTAGGTAACTACATACTTTTACTCACCATCGCTGTGGTGTCTGCCGGGATAGGAGCGTTGATTGGAAGGTCATCTCTTGGCTGTGGGAGCTGTGTCCAGTACTCAAACCGTAAGTATACATCATCGGACCCTACCCTCCATCTACTTCGACTGGCACATGTTGCAGAAGCTTATCCTTCTCTGGCAGCTGAAATCCCGCTGGGCACCATCAAGGAGATCTTTACCTATAATCGGACATTTGGTGAAGACCCACGAATAGATAACGGCACGCTGGCAGCCTGGGACTCCCTTGTTCCAAGTGAGTAATTGCTGACGTCCCAAATATCCGTCAAGTCAAGGAACAGCCGCTAATTGAGCATGGTGTTGTCTCCGAGATAACCAGTTGGCCAAGGCACGGTACGTTTTCCTGCAGGGAGCAAGAAGATCTATACCCTGTCTGCCGTGCACCAACTACATTGCCTGGTACGTGCGAATGCCGTTGGCTCTGAATGAACTGAGTAAAAACACGACAATGTAGAAACGTGCTAACTTGAGGATGGTACGAAGTGGTCTATCCACCAGAGCTATTACGGGGCCTTGCAGTCGCGTCGTCGCGGCGATGAACAGCAGCACAACCACATCGGTCCCCATATGCGGCACTGCTTCGATTACCTGCGCCAGGGGCTGATGTGTGCCGCCGATTCAACCTTGGAGCCTGTCGATACGAGGCTAGGTGGAGTTACTGGATGGGGGAGCGAACGGGTGTGCCGAGACTACACTGCTCTGAAGGATTGGGCCGAACAACGACGAGTGAGCAACAGCAAGGGCTTCTCAGACTAGCGACCATCAGGCCAGTAGTCTAGATTGATCTGCCAGGCATGTCTCCAAACTGTCTCGTTAAAAGAAGTCTTATCAGAGGAAATATCTTTTTGGGCATACACTGCGACAGTCGAGATGTATAAATATAGAACAAGCACCGGGGGTGGTACAATAGGCTTTTTCTGTACACGCCCGCCCTGCAGAGTCGTCCTTTGGAGGCCGGCGAGGAACCCTGCCAGCAAAGTCCCAGAGTCAAGCCCTGCGTCATCCCTTCATCCGATGTGACGTCGCTGCCCTGGCCCCGGTCTTCTCCAGGTCTTCCCTCGCCCTCCTTCTTCGCCCGCCAGCCAATGCCCGCTCCACAAAGCGGCCCATCCTGGACCCACTGATCCCCGCGCCCCACCTGAGCTTAAAACAAACTTAGCAACAGTGATTGGCTGGACAACGGCAACGGATCGACTGGCGCTTGCACCGATACAGCCAACCAGAGGCCGCCATTCTCTCAGTCGGCTGCGACCTCTCGATTTCTATTGGTTCCTGGTGTGTGGATCGGCCTCGAGCTGGACCCGCAAGTTCGGGCCGCGCGGGGGCCAGCTGGATCCACCGCCAAGACCCGCGACGGTTTTGGTATGTATAAACATCACCAGAGAAAAACAGCCTCTTGGTGGTGTCGGATTTGATATCAACGAACGAACCGTGGCGGAGTTCGGAGCAGATTAGCGGGGCATTTTTGTCTGTCTGTAAGAGACAGAGGTGCGCCCTGCTGTGACCGGCAAGTACAGTTACTCCCAGGCCCTCCTGCGCTGCAAGGCTGTTGGAAGCGGCATCCTGGTGCTCCGACTGCTCTCGCGCCCTTTTCCATGTAGGACATGGCGTGACAGAACCGCTTATGCTGCCAAAAAATAGGCATAATGCATACTGGTATGCAGGGATGGCCGAGGTATTGGGAGCACATGACGGTACATATATGTGTATTTCGGCCGGGGGAAGGCGGTACGGCCATACAAATATAGAACGTAATTTAAATCCTACCCAACGGACAGGGGGGGGGGGGGGGGGGGGTGTTGCTTACATGCAAGGCAAACCCGGGTTGTTGCTGCAGCGATTGCATGGCTAAGCGGTCAAATACCAGCACGGGGTATTTTAGAGCTGCGAGATTCCATTTCCTTCGACGGCCTTTTTTCCCTTGTTTCCCCCTTTTTATATCAGGTCGTCTGAGCGCTGATTTGTGTAGTTGCAAGATCAAAGTCATCATCACTTTTCAACACCACTGAAGATGAAGTTCCAGATTATTCTCCTTCTGGCTGCTGTTGCCAGCGCCGCCCCTCTTGCCAGCGGTATTGACCTCCATGCTTCTCTCTGGCTGTCTTGTGCTAATTGCTAACTTTGGCTGATAGGCAAAGTCGCTGATGCTGATGAGGCCGTCGTCTACCCAGCCAAGGTTGACCAGTCCTGGGTTGATGCCGATGTGGCAGCCCGTAAGTGTACTCTCCAGACCCATTTTGAAGACTGTCTTTCTAAACTCGATATAGGATCTGTACAAGACGCAGACGAAGCCGTTGTCTACCCTGCCAAAGCCGACCAGTCCTGGGTCGATGCAGACAATGCTTAAACGCTCTCATATTTCCACGTATATATAAGCTATGGACTCTACCACATAATTTGTAGTCCGAGGTGGCACGGTTTTATGAATTTTTTTGTTTCAGTTACGAGAAATTTTTAGCAAATATAGATTGGTCTCTTCAGTGATTTTGAGCATGGCTACATTTAACAAATTTCCACCGAGTAGCTCCTAAAGCGTTCGTAGAATGAGGCTTTCTTGAAATAGTTACATGGGTTCCGGTAAACGGATGCACAGGGCATAATGCTAACACGAAACTTATAAGTGCGGCCAGCCCCCGTCTCACAGGTCGATTCTACGTACTCCTTGATAGCCTCACCGGACATACATGTCAGACGCTCAACAACCATGTCCGACGACCACAAGAGCTACCACCCTTTGCGGAGGGATTCAACAGAGAACGAACATGATGTGTCATTGAGAGAATTCAAAAATCCAAGCAATCAGAGACCGGTCATCCTGATACTATCAGCGATTATCGCCGGGTTGGTTTTTCTGAACGCAGCTCTCAGCTTCTACCTATACAACCAGACTAGATCATCGAATTCACACTGCGACTGCAGCTCTTATTATGGTATTTCGATACTGAATTCGTACTTTTTCTCTAGTGGCCGGTAGTTACTGACTGCTTCCAGCTGGCCTAGAGAGAAATGTCCCCATACAAATATACCAAACTACCGAGTTTGTCGCCGAAAATGCGAGCGATGTTGCGCATCTCTGGGAGAAATTAAGCGGAGATCCAGGGGTCGTCGCTCTGCCGCAGAAATATGTGTCTGAGAAGGGCCTTCCGCATGCCATGCGATTCCCATGGGACGACGATAAAGGGGTGTATCTATTGCAAGGATATCATAACCTGCACTGTCTGGTCAGTCGTGATTATCTAGGCCTCCTCTCCTAGCGTACACTCTAGCTCGCATGCTAACCTGTATTATTGTGCTTCTAGAGGACCATCTTCCGATATACCTGGAACGCTGACCGCGGTATCCCTCAACGAGTCGCATTCAGTCACATTCAGCACTGCCTCGACCAGTTACGCCAGGATGTTATGTGCAATGCAGACGATACGCCAAGATACGCTGGATTTCAGAATCCTCCAGGAACAGGAGCGGGTCAGGTCAGGATGTGTAAGGACTGGAAGAAGCTGGAGCAATGGGCCAGAGAGCGAACGGCTTGTTTCAAGCATGAAGACGAAGTTCCGGGCAAGATGATTGATCGGTTCAAGTTTTGCCCAGACGGAAAGGTACTGTGGCCGACGGATAAATCCAACTAACTCGTGAGAGAGTCCATGATGTATGTGTATTTTCTGTTTCCTTGTGATAATGAATAGATGTTATATATCCGATTTTTACGGGATATTAAGATATAGACAGAGTATTACTAGTCGTTATTATATTGCTCTCCTGAGGCCAAAACCAACCTTTGAGACCCTGCTTGCAGCCATACTAATTACTGAAGCCGTGAGCAGAGCTCCACACCAGCAAATAAGTCCAACCCAGCCTCCACGTCCATTGAGAATGGCGCCGGCAATAGGATTGCCTACGAGTACGCCGCATCCTACAACGGCCAGCGTCATCCCTAGCCGAGTGCCTATCTTGCTCTTGTCTGCAGAGAGGTTCACCACTCCTGCAGCGGGTAGCCCCATGAACGCACCGGCAGAGAATCCGTAGATGACGCAGAAAACCACCAGACCGGCTGCACTTTTGATTGCAATCAGGCAGAATGTCAACAGGGCGCTGATAAAGGCGACGATCGTTTGCACGTTAATGGACCCTATTCTGTCAGCATAAAACCCAGGTATCAGTCGTCCTGCCAGAGAGCTCCCGTTGATAATCACCAGGAGATACGACTCGAGGACGTGTGAGATGTGCGTCTCCTCCAGCGAGTATAGCTGGATATAGTAAAAGATAATGTAAAGGCCCGTGAAGCCGAAGATGAGACCCAGATTGAGCAGCATGTAGGGACTGTCTCTGAACGCGGTCGTGTCTACCACGTTGTATCTGGCCCTTTTGGTTGGGACAGACCGGGGCTTCATCAGAAAGACGGGCAGCAGCTGGGTTGCCAGAATGATAAACCCGATCACACGAGTAGCCCAGGGGAAGCCGATCCTGGGCTGAAGACGGCTGAAGATAATAGGATATATTATTCCGCCTGGTTCGAGTATCACAGTCAGATATAAGTCGCAGTTATGTAGTTATACAGCCACAGAACGCCCACGTACCGATGGCACTGCCAGCCGACGACGCCCCCATGGCCAGCGCAGTGCTTTTGTTGAAGTACTGCGACACAACAGCCGGCGCCGGCACGTAGAGACAGCCGAATCCCAGGCCCATGGTGATCGCCTGCGCAAGAAAGACCTGCCAGTACTGCGTGCAGAGGCTGGTCATGAACATCCCCAGCACCGTGAGCAGCGATCCGAGTGCCAGCAGCGTCTTCACGTAGCCCGCATCGACGACGGGCCCCACGACCATCGAGATGATGAACATGAGGAACGCCTGGGTCGAGCCGATCCAGGAGATGTCCGACGGGGACCGTGACGAGAGCAGGTCGAGTTCATAGTAGGTCTGATATACCCCGAACGCATTCATGAGGCCCCTGAGTCGACATTTGACCGTCAGTTAGTTACACTAGTTAACTAAAAAGCCATCCAACGCCCCGAATAGTTGGCTCGACTATACATACCATGTATTCAGATTCAGGCAGAATGCGCCCAGGACCTGGAGCCAGGCGAACCAGTCCTCGTCCTCGTCCGGCTGCTGCTTCGACGACGCGCGCTCGACATCCTGCTCGCCCCGGCGCTGTTGCTGCTGCGGCGGTGCGTCTTCCTGAGAATCCGACGGCGGTTTATCGTCCATCGCGCAGGACATCGACCAAAAGCTGTCTCTCCCCAGGGCCGATTTAAGCGAAGAAACACTCCGTCCCAGAGGCAGAGACGCTGCAGGATGGAGCAGTTTAAGAGTTGCCGCGACCTTTTTGATCCCTCCAGGACGGTTTTGGGCCCCTCTCGATCCGTGGTTTGCATGGTTGGCTTCAAAATATTACGTACCAACCGGCGCATCCCAGCAGCCCAGAAGGCTCCGCAGGGCCCGGCGTCTCCCTGCCTTCGTCTCTCCCCTTTCGGCTGCTTGCTGACGGCGATGTATCGTGCCAGCGAGTGGCCAGCGTCAGCCGCTGATAGCTAATTAGCTGTCATTAACCGTCAACTGTCGTGGTGTCGTTAACTACGAGCTGAAGATCTCCCTTGCATGGCCCGTCAGCGCCACCAGCACCCTCCAGAATTTGTCTGCTTGCTCCCTGGGGGGGCTGAGGACTGGCTTGTTCGACCTTCCACATGCTGTGCAGGCTGTTCATGCAAGGATCTTGCCATTCCATGCCTTGTCCGATCCCTCAGGTTGCACCAAGGCCCCCCCAAGGCCCGCAGCAGATTGGAGGAGAGGATGAAGCCTGAAGAAAAAGAAAGCAAACGCCAGCAGTGGAACGTTTGGTCACCGGGATTGCGAGTGAGAAACGAAAAGAAACGACTCAAAAAGACCGTCGTACTTTTTGTCTATTCTTAGTTGTATCACTCGGTCTGGTTGTATATATATATATAACTCTGCAGAATGGACCCTGCTGGGAGTCGGCACGATATTCTTCACATCTCACTGTTACCCCCCTGACACTAAGAATAAGATAAGGGACATATACGAGTGGCATACTCGACCCCCCTGGCTGTCCGGACTTGATCGCCAGGCCACTGAGCAGCTTGTATCTAGACACTTGACATGGATGGATGTTACCGCGTGGTATGTCATGCTCACTCCTCCGGCAGCGATATCCATTTCCCTTGAACCCTTTTTGGGGCCTTTTAGGAGCGGATGCTTACTTACGACTCCCGGACAATGCCTCCTTGCGGATACGCCAGCCTGATCTAAAATGCTACCTTGTGCATAGTTGTACCGCTATATAGGCACTCCTGCGTCGCTGGAACCCGGGGAAGCGCCTCGAGACTGTCCACTATTCATGCGATAGTTAAAACTAGCTGCTTTCGTTTGCCCTCGAGGCTAACTGATATATTTCGAGTCGCTTCATTCCGTTTGATATTTTTTTTTTTTATCGGGATCGGGATCTCTCCTTTCTTTTCTCTCTTTTCTCTGTCTGTCGTTCGTCAAGATCAGTCCATAACTGCCCAAGATGGCCATGTCTGGGCCAGATTATCTGGGGACAACCGTCCTGGTTGTTGCCTGGGTGTTTGCTGGCCTCGCCTCGATTGTTGTTGGTACTAGATACTACGTTCGTTGGAGGATCATAGGAAAATTTACCATAGACGACGCCCTCATCTTCGTTGGCTACGTGAGTTTAACTTGGATCGTTTCAAGGGATGGATGGGCATTACTGACCGAATAAAACACAGGCCTTTGGAATAGGGAATTCTGTTTTTTTGACGATATCTACTCACTGGGGACTGGGAACCCATATGGCAAAGTTGTCGGAAGAAGGGATCATGCACTCCGTGAAATGGGTCTATCTCTGCGAATTCTTCTCCATCATGTCCCCTGGTATAGGCCGGATAGCCTATGCATCTTTACTTCTCGGCCTCCTTCCGCCTATTAAATGGCGCAGCCGCATGCTATGGAGCCTGATATGGATCCAGTTTATCGTTGATATCGCGACTGTGATCATCAGCTTCTCCCAATGCCGGCCTATAAGCAAGTTCTGGAACAATAGTATCCCAGGCAGCTGTTGGCCCCCGAAAGTCCAGCAGAACACCGGTTACTTCCAGGGAGGTGAGTACATCTTTGATATTCTACTATACAGTACGGATACTTACAGCACTGCAGCGGTATGTTCGGCGGTTGATCTTGCCCTTGCGGCCTTTCCCGCTAGTATGTTCTGGAGTTTGAACATGGAGTGGAGGAAGAAGGTATCCCTTTCATGTCTTATGGGACTAGGTGTTTTGTATGTCTTACCCAGGCTGCTCCTCAGTAACAAAGAGACAACAAGCTAACTAGCCCCGATACCAGTGCGATGATCGCGTCAATTATCAAGACAGTCCAGTTAAGAGCAATCACTGCAAAGGCTGATATCACCTATGCCATGGCTCAGCTCGCCATCTGGTGGACACTGGAGGCATACCTGGTCATCATCGCGACCTCGATACCCACTCTCAGGCCGATAATGACGCCCAACAGGGGCGGAACCAGACCAAGAGGCAGCTCGATCAAGAGATCTACCATGATCCACTCCCATCAGTCTAGCTACGGACATAGTAGACAGTTCGAGCGGATAGAAGACTCCCAGCTTCTGGAGAGTGGTTCTCGAACGAGCATCCCTTATGCTGGCGATGCTTATATCATGGAAGAAGGACGCAGTCTGGACCGCAATAACCTGGAAAGACTGGAGGGGATAGAGAAGACAACAACCATCGGCGTCACTTATGCTGATGCCACCAAGTCGGATCCCCAGCTGCGACTCGGAGCTGATTTTCGATGATAAGGCGTGCCACCCGCCTGCAACAAAATAAATATACTACGGGGAAATAGATGTCTCTGTTTCATGATTAGATGAATCCACGCAAACGATGCTCCCTAGCCGTACAACGAGCTCTACACCCAACCTGCACCGCATACAATATCGAGCGCTCTACCGTCCTAACCGAAAGAGGAGCTGTGTAATACTCTATTCTGTGCTTCTAAATCGGCCACTGATCGATAGCTGTGCCATGGGTTGAGTGATAACATTTTGATAGGTTAGTCAATACCTTTGCTTGAGTCTCAGCAGGCATATAGAAACCGCTCAACTGACACTACAGATATATTTAGAATTTGATTGCACCTGTCCTGCCTTTGATACCCTCTACTAGCTAATACCCGGAAAAATATGATACCCAATAATAAAACCATCAGCGATAAGCGCATGACACCCAAAAAGCTCCTACCGATATTTTTATCAACACGCATAAACTACATGTACATTACCTCTACAATAATGTCAAACACTATATTTCCCAGTTGCAAACAGTGTCTCTCAGCATAGTCCGTCGAGTAAAGGTTAACTGATTTTGCGCCACTGACTTTGATCTGACGACATACAAACCACTTTGCAATAACCAAACTATATAAACGACAAAACTTCCACACAATTATATTCCATCGCCTACACAGCATTTTCAATAACTAGTTTTCCGAAAACATATGCAACGAAAGATGTCTTCCGTTCCAACAGACCCTCCACCTCCATATATGCCACAACCAGCACAAAGCCGGCATCGACCAGAAGCTATCCTCAGAGATGATTTCAAAACCATAGGGTTTGGAGTTCGAATTAAGTGTGTTGGGACCCTTTTGCCTGGAGGAATGTCTATTTCTCTTTGGTGCTGATTATCGTTTCGGTTACATAGTTTTCCTAGTGATGAGAGGAACGTTCTCCTTGAATTTTATCTTATCAAATGCCCAAAACGCGGCTGGTAAGTTGAAGAGCTACCGTCTTTATCTCATCCAGTTGGTTATGATTATGACAGCTCAAAATAGAGTAAGAGATTGATGGTGTCCATAGGGAGTATTGTTCCGATACAAAGGTAAAGTTGCACAGGAGAGCCGGCAAGCGCAAGATCTTTCCGGCAACGGTCTATACGATTGAGGGCTGGGTAATAAACCGACGAAGAGTGAAGCGGTCAAGGGCTGGTTGCGAATACTGCGGCTGTGGTGCTGATGCCCAGTGCAATCAGTAGTTACCAGTTAGCTGTTATTGTTCAGGTATACCAAGCAACTGCCTTTGCCTCTATAATGGATTATTCAAACGTAGTTATTTAAACTAGTGGGGACATAACTAACCCAATTTTAACTTATAGTTAGCTGGGCGCCATCGGCAATTGATCGATGCTTATCCTGACTACACCCGGCAATGTTCAACGTTCACAATATTTACTTTGCCTATCCCGGGAAGGCTATGGTGTGCTACATCTCCACGGGCATCCCCTCGATAGACAAGATGAAGTTGAACATATGTAAATTCGTCATAAGCTATATACAGACGCACTCCTAAACTATGTACATAAAAGAATAAGAGAATGCATTTAGCAGCCTGGTGGGAGCTTGTTACTGCCAGTGCGGTTGCGGGCATCATATTTGGCACCGTAGCCGAGGCCACGCTTAGCGAAGGCCTTCCAGATGGTGCACTTGTTGGCACTGTTGGTGAGAGCACGGTCGGCATCGAGGATGGCATCACGGGCCTGGACGAAGTTGGGGTTGCATGGCTGGCTATAGGGATATTTTAGTTGGAGTTACGTAGAAATACAATGGACGTGTGAACTTACAGGGCCATGCCGTCCATGACGAGCTTCATGGAAAGATGGCGACCATCCTGTGGAACGCCATTGCGGAAGACCGGGTCAGCGGAGTAGGTGCCGCCGTGGGCCTCGATAAGAGCCCACATGAGGTCGTAGAGCATGGAGGCCCAGACGGTACCGATCTGGTGGACCTCACGGAGGCTGTTGACGGAGGTGTACATGTAGGGGTTGGTCTGGAGGTTAGTGGAGTAGAGGTAGGCACGGATACCCTTGGGGTTGTTGGCAGCCCAGGCACCCATGGAGTAGTTGGTGTCCTTGGTGTCACGGGGCTTTAGACGGATGGCAGTGGCGTAGAAGTCACCCCAGCCCTCACCCATACCACCGGACTCGAGAGCGTTCAAGCAGGCACTGTTGGCGGGACCACCACAGAGACGGTTGGAGACTAGAAGGTGGACGGTATGTCAGCATTGTCAAGTTGAGGTAGTTGAGAAGGCAAGGGGGGTTTCAATTGAGGAGTGATTAGGGAGCAGGTTTTGGGTGGTAGGCTACTTACGACCGTGGGTGTATTCGTGGATGACGATACCGGCTTCAAGGCAGCCATCACGGTTGGGACGAGCAGTAGTCCAGTTGTACATTCTCATGCGGCCAGGGCTGCCATCTGGTGGAGTGGCAAAGTTGGCATTGTTGGTACCAGAGCCATCCTGAGCATTGACAATGGCGAAATCGTTGCCTCGGCCACCCTTGTTGCCGTTGTTGACCTGGAAGTTACCAGCAGCCTCGTTGAAGCCGAAGGAGTAGAGGAGGTCATGGTATCGGTTGGTGGTGTAGAAGAGCTGAGTGATGGAGAAGTCCTTGTAGGAGGATGGGGGAGTAGCAGTTGGGCTCCATGGGTAGCTGAAGATGAGGTTGGGGCTCTGTGGGCGGTAGTTGTTGATATAGGTGCTGCCGCCAGTTGGGTTGTCCTGGGCAATGGCGTTGTTACCGCGGGTGGTTGGGTACTTGGTCATGCCATCAGAGTTCCAGGTGTAGGGAGAGGCATCAGTCCACGGGTCGCGGATAGAGGTTGGGTTTCCCTCAGTGGGATCGTTGAGACCCCAGGCGCTATCTCACCGTTAGAACCTTTCTCTAGCCAAGCATATATATATATGTATATATATACTTATATAAGTGGATGGAAGATAAGTACTTACAAGACCTTGTACTCAGCAGAGGCAACGTAGTCAACAACGTTGTGGACAGTCTCGCTGTTGTGGGCATCGACATAGGTCAAGAGCCAGTTGTCACCAACGTCGGTCTCGACTTTCCAGGTCAAGGCGAGGCTTCCGTCTTCCTTCTGGAGGTAGACGAGGTTGGCCTTGGGAGCAGAGAGGGCACCGGTGGTTCCCATGAACTCGAAAGCCTCCTTGCCAGCAGCAGTCTTAGCCTTAGCGTTGTCAGACTTGACAGGGAGGTTGAGGGCCTTGACGGCACCCTTCAGGGCCTTGACTGGGTCAGAGAATGCACGCTTGACCATTGGGTTCTCCTTGGGGATCTCTCCGGTGAAGAAAGAGTTTCCGAAGGAGAAGACCTTGCCATCACGGCCGATCTAGATGCATGTTAGCCATAGCCATTCCACACATTCTCTACATATCAAAATTCCTCAATGACAATGTAGCAAAGGAGCAAGGTAACTTACGTTGACATTGAAGTCAGAGTTGTCAATGTCAAGGCCGTGGGCAGTCTGCTTGAAGTGAACATGGCCAATTCCGTTGGTGCCAATGTAGTGGTCATCAACGACACGGAATGTGGACTTGGGGAATGTGCTCTTGACCAGCTTGGTGGCGGTTGAGACGTAGTCATCGTCCTTGGAGAAGGACATGGCCTGGATCTTCTGGGCGGTGGCATCACTGTCCATGTACTTGGCCTTCAATGGCAGACGGAAGGACTCGATGTCGACGCCACGGCGGCTGAGGACGTTGCTGGCGTGCTGCTCAGCAGGGTGAGCGAGCACATTCATGGGCAGGGCCAGAAGCCCGGCGAGCAAAAGACCGTGCATGATGGCGGTTCACCAGCAAGCAGAAAACAGAAAAGGGCAGAAGAAGGGTATTATGGGGGTCAGAGAGCGTTGTTCGTCTTGAGGAGCTCTGCTTGAGAGTTCTGGGTATCCTGAGGCGGGCATCCAGAGGGCTTTTATAGAGGAATCCATCACCGTCTCCCCGGCTCTGCCTCCACCCTCCTCCCCCCCATGGCAGCGCTAAAAGTCTTATCATTCGGACGTTTGAATAGCTTCCTGCCCTTGCTCTGGCCGTCCTGGCAGTCTCGTGAGTGCAGACCCGGCCGGGGGAGATGCACGCCTTCGCCTGGCCCCCCCTCCCTCCCTGCCTGGGTCTGATATGGATCGAGCTGAGCAGATGTATCCTTCGGGCCGTGTCAAGCCTCATTAAACTGGCCCTTCCTGCCAAGCACGTAGCATCCTGTCACTCTGTGCTATACGGGGTATCTTGTTTTTGTTTCCTTCCGGCCAGCTCGCGGCAGAGCTTCAGCAGATCCGGGTCATGCCCTGGGCTGCAGTCCCTCTGTGCTCCCACACCGGCGCAGCTCTCGCAGCTCCCAACGGGCAGCGGACAGCATCACAACGCCGGCCTGGTGTAACAGGCGAGCTCGAAGCGCGGCCAGGCGGCTGCCCGTGGATCGTGACCTGCCATCCCAACTGCCGTGGCTTGTGGTCAGCTAGTTACTTGGTAACTAGTTAGCTAGTTAGTGGACAAGGAGAAAACAGGCGTCGCCAGAGATAGACTTAGACCTCGGACCGGGATGGCCCTGGCAGCGAGCAAGCGGCCGCCACGGCTGGACTCGGTCAAGCATCAGCCAGTTCGTGCCTCAGTCCGCCGCCAGAAGAGACGAAGAAGCTGGAGAAGGCGAGCAGAGCAGAGTCCCTGGGCCGGCGGGATGATCACAAGGCCCCCGGGAGAGCCAGCAAGGGGCGAAGGCTATCAACTCACATACACACAATCCCAGCCCGCGATAAACAAAACAACAGAGGCCATATCATGATCGAAAGGATAATTACATATTAACTGTGGGCGTCGGCAGCGGTTTTCGGTGCGCATGCTTGCCATAGAGACCCAGCCTCGGCCGTCTCACGATGTTTTGCTATCCAGCAGGCTCCCACGAGTCAGCAAGCCACAGGACAAAAAGCCTTATATCGCCGTCTCACGCTACATCGCGCCAGGGGGACGATGCGGGGGGGCCTTCATGCAGCGCCAGACAGGTGTCTAATCGAGCAGTTCGTGGGCGTGCAGTCTGGGGAATCTGGCACAGTTCATCGGCCTGCAGGACAGGCTGGCACACAGCCCCTGAATCCCTGCCAGGCAGGCTATACTTGCACTGGCCTAAGAGCTAGTGGGCTGCTCCACTCTAGTTAGCGGTCTCAGGGCTCGCTGGCCGATACGAGGACTCTAAACTCTTCTGGACCGTCTCGAGGAGACGATCACTTGCGGCCTCACAGGCGGACGGTGGACTGTTTCGATAGGGGAAGCCCGCCGCCTCTTCCGGTTGCAACCCTCATCAAATACACTCGCCTCTACGACTTGGATACTTGTCTAACATGTTAGCCAGCTAGTTGGCAGGCTGGAGATCGCTGCTTTGGATAACTAGCTGCTTAATCTATTCTGGAATTCCGCTTTCTCTCGGGTTTATATCAATTTCCGAAGCACCCCCAGGTTTTCCTGCCCTTGGCTTCATCCAAGCCATGTCTGCCGCGGGAATCGAGGGCCTGTTTCCCGCTTGCTGCATGAGATAGATCCTTAGCTGGACATATACGCTGCTGAGCAGGATACACTCCCAAAAGCATACTCTCCCCGGTCCCCCTAGTGGCCCCATTCTTCAGCAACGCTGGCGGTTAAAGCATCAACTATCGACCGAAAGGGAAGGTCATGACAAAACGTTATCTCCAGGCTAAGCATTCGGAAACACCCGATTTTCCCTTGGAAAACCTGGGGAATGCGTTTCATGCATGCAGAGACTGACCAGAATCTGTTGCCTGATGTGCCTCTCCTTTCACACGGCATCCCTCCACTTGCCTGTGATATTTATCCTTTCCCAAAAATAGAATAATGATATCAGCACACCCTCACTTTCACCATCTGGAACTGCCGTTCTATGAACGTGCTGATGGCCAGGATGGTGGCTCCCCGAAATTACACGGTGCCACCTTTACTCCTGAATACTTGGACAGTCAAAAAAAATGTCTCGAAGCTGGCCTGAATCCCCCCCGAAAGTCTTTCTCTGACGTGGCGATCATTTTACATCCTGTGGACACGGGCAATTTCAAGGACCAAAAAAAAACCAAGAATAACCAACCGGATATTCGATATTAGCCAACCCCAAGTCAGTCAAGTCAAGCCTGGTCCTTGACAGGATGGGTTGTGGCTAGCTTAAGGATCCTGTCCATGCTGCATTTTGTGCTGCTTCATCAAAGGAACAACACTACTGGACCCTGGATGTGCGGACACTAGAAGAATCACGGAGAACATGATAAGCTCTCTCGTGCATGTCAGAAGACCACGGCTTTTATTCCAGAAGTTGATCGCCGACCTAGCGATCAGGTACGAAGCACACATTACGGATCTCCTCCGCACTCCTCCTTTAATTCTCGTATAAAAAAACGGCCCCAACTTCACCACTTCAGGATGACATCCATGCCTCCCGTCGCCAGCCACGGGATACCTGATACCTGTGCTATTCTTATTATCCGTAATCACAACCAGTGGCAAACTGAGCGGATAGTTAATGCTGCTGTCAAAGATAGACATCTACAACCGCATAGGCATTTCCCCCGCGTTCTCAGCTGCAGTAGTTACGGAGTATATTGCCGTTTGATATATGAAGGGGTCAGTATGAATATCGCCATAACCGCCGTTCATCTAGCGAGAATGGCCCAGGTAAATGATGTAAGAGTCGAACGATGTTACTCTACAGCCTTCACATCCTGCAATCAAGCGAAAGTATAAGTCATCATCTCTCGAGTCTTGCGAGCGCCGGGAATAACCCCTGGCGATTAACAGAGTAGCACGTTGATTGAATGATCAGTGACTTCAGGGTCCATAACATCAGTCCATCGCATTCTCATATTATCAAGTACTGTCTGGTTGACTCCAGGCTAGTTTCAGACCTCACTGTCCAAGATGTCTCTTACTCTGTCCGGCTCGAGACAAACAGTGCTTGGTAGGCTGCCAACGAACCCCTTTTCCCCTCGAGAAACCTCATAGGATACTTCTTCACCATCCTCAATATTTATTACCTGCGGATTTCGCTAACGAAACGCTTGCAGTGACGCCGTTCTCTCTCATCTACATCTCGATGAACGATGGACGTTGAAATTCGCTGATGGAGATCAACCTGATCAGCACGATCAACGCGGCTCCGTCAGGGTTCATACACGCGACGATGATCGATGATGGTCGATCTGTTTATCTCCCGTGAACCCGTCACAATGGTTCCCAGAGCGGCTCCACGGGTGTTTGGAAGCTTGTCGGCGCCTGTGGCCTGGTGACGAGGGCGTTGTCTCGTTCGGTCGAGCTCGTCTAGCTACCCTATAACTATATCTTGAGACTGCTGTGAAACACACGCCTGTCGGGTGATTTGCTGCACTGCGAGGTAACTAGTTAGTAGACTACCTGTTTGCCGGGATTACTACCTTGCGGGTGCATTAATTTCAAGCCCAAGGGCAGCCAGTGCTAGTTAAACCATCCATATGTTGTCACCGGATCCTGTATCTACTAGCTGAATACTACATAGTCAGCCTCTGCTACGGTCTCATTGCCGTCTGACAGCTGGGAGTCTACGCTGTGTAACTCGAGCAGAGCCCCATGAATCGGTTAACCACATGGCCTGGCGATACCCATCCTCGAGCCGGTGATACCAGGAGTGCAGTCACTTTCATGCTTTATAGAAGCACTAGGGCCTCAGCCTCATCAACCTTGGTAGAGCAATTGCTTCATATCCCAGCATTCTACCCGCATAGTCCGTGTTCGGCATCTTCCTGGACTTTATGCACGTAAACACCCTTCTCCCCTGGACCGGACGAAGGGATAGCCGACTAGATTTACCGCCACGCGGGCGGCAGTTATGCGGCATATGCCTCGTGGAAAGCCACAATTTCAATCTCACCGGCAACGTTGTGGAGCAGAAAGCCTTGTTGTTTAGCTGTGAACCTTTACGCTTCGGTTATTGAGAGCCTAAAGAATCGAGGTGTGCTCTACATTAATTGCTGGTCAATATCCGATCGGTGACTCGCTACTCATACAGCTAATCATGTTCTATCACTGGTTGGCTAGGTAACATTATCCATGGCACCATCGCAAAGAGAGAAGAGCAATGATTAGGACCTTCTCTATTATGTTGTTAATTGCGCAGTGGCCAATTGGTTAGTTACTTGGCTGCAGGTATAAATGCCCCAGTTAAAAGCTGGGTGTTAAGGTTAGAGGCTGGCGGGCTTTTGATCTAAGCTTAATTTGACGTTTGCCTACAGAACCGTATCATGACGACAGGTTATAGGTCGATACGAGCTTCAATGGTTCGATGTACCGCGTAAGTCTTCCCTTCTTATACGTAGACTCCATGGAATTCCTCCAAATGCAATATTTAGTCCCAATGGACCAGAAATCCCTTGAGAAACCAAATGAGAATCCATATATGATACAATAACATCACTTATAAGAGGGACAATAAAAACAACGCAATATTGGATAAGGAGTAAACTGTTCACTCTCTAAGTTTCGTCATACTAGGGTTTGATAAGGTATATCTATTCCTGAATTGATTTTGTACACGGGTATCATGTCGAGGATATTCATAGAGCCATAAAGATTGCTGTCAGCCCCACAATCACCAAGCTCACCCAGCTGCCTCTCAAAATTATCGCTTTGTTCTCCGGGCGCCCCGGCTCCACGTCATACTTCTTCGTAGTAATAACCTTCAAGCAAGTCATCTGAGAAGAAGTATGGTCAATGAGGCTGCCGTTTCCACCAACAAATAGAGTCAACACTGGTGTGA